ATGTGACTGCCACAGCCACAATTGAACCCGTGGCATTCGGCTCAGCAGCAGGGCACCCTATAGCGAGCAGTCCACCGAGGCGGATGCGAAAAGAGGGCCGATTAGTGAATAGCATCTTCAGGCTATTTGAAATAAAAATAAAAATAATAACAAGCTCAGATTCCCTTTGCGTATATTATCTTTTTTTTTTTCAGCTTTCATTCATTACACTGATTTTAAAAGGACAGTGCAAAGGTACAAGAAAAAGAATGACATAGAGACAAAAAGCCCTCTTTCTTTTCCCTTTGTCTTTACGCTTCCCTTTCAAAATCATATGAAGCAGCTAGCCCAAACCAAAGTACTCCTCACGCATGCTACACAACAGAACACACAGATTGCACATACTAAGTAATGTCACGTGCAATGCTCTTAATGAGGTACCATTCAAAATGCAGAATATAATCTGGAGACGGGACATTTTTAATCTGTTTTTCTAGATATAGTTAGCACATAACGAAGTTCTGATGAAGAGCGTATAGTATGCGACGTCACCCATCAATGTCAACGTAAAAGAGCGACATAAAAAGCGGACCATTCCTTGCTGTACGTCACTCCCTAGGTCACTCCCTAGGTCATTAGAAATTGAGCGTTTTTTTGCGACATGTAATTTTGCAAATCTTAACAGGAATGATCCGGATTGCCCAGTGCACCATTACACTTGTCAGCTCTAAATGCTCAAACCTAGTGAGGGGCCCTTTAAGGTGTTCACCAATAGAGGAGCAATCGGTCCTACGTGATTAGAGCTAGCATCCCTCTCCTCTGGGGTATCAGTGGTTTGGTTATTTGCTCCTTCGCTGCCCTTCCCAGCCACAACGATATGAATACAGCCTGGTAGTTCTGTAACTAGTGTAATGCTTTCAAATGGTATCACATCTTTGCAGTCGAGACGCAGATTCTTACGTCTCAAATTTTTGTACCAACTTTCTAACCGCAAATTTGCTCTGAACCCTGACCCCTACCTCACACCACTAAGAACACGCCAGACTCGGCATTCACACGCACTTTCTTTAACACCATATTTTGCTCGTACTAACTTGTTCAAATTTTCTTTCTTTCCTCGTACCATTGAAGAGTGGAACGATTTGCCTGCAAGCAGTTTACACTCTCCCGATCTTATTTACGCTGAAATTTGAAGTTGTTTTTCTAACTATTCCAACTATTTCCTCTTTTCCCTCTCCACTCTTTCCTTTTGTTGCTTTTGTATAAATATGTCACACTTTCCACTTTTTACTCTCTTTATTGTTGATGTTGTTTTGAAATGTGTATGACAACTGTATTATCTTGCCCTTCCTGCCTTGGCCTCTGGCCAGCAGTATTTGTAAATAAAAAATAATAAAGAAAGAGACCAAGGAGAGTGTTAATTGAATGGTGGGCACTTGACGCACAATTCTAAACATTAAAACGAAAGACCACCTACTGCAAATCGCATGGGAAATGCATGCTTAAGTTCATTCGCTGGTACCTTTCTACTATCTTGAACAATATCATTTTTTTGCTTCTTGCCGTAGATACAAGTCACCGACGTCGTTATTTTGGGATATTTAAATTTTTGTTGAAATTTTTGTGCCTATAATTATGACGTTGAGGGCCTAAAACGGTGTCTTACCTGCCTGTCTTCGGCTTCTAAAACACACTTATTTAGTGCCTAAAGATCCAGCCTCTAGTCATGAGTAAGAATGCGTGAGGCACGTGCCGGGTGCTGGGATGCAGAGCACGTGTGCAAGATCCCCGATGGTGCGCAGACGCGCCACGCTCACGTATGAGATTGGTCGCAGAAAGACTCGTGGCACGTGATCCGAGCTGTAATGTAAAATCATGGAGGACAAGCTCGGCGCTGTGCTGTGGAGCTTCGGACTGCAAAGATCAAGAAGGTCAGCATCGCTACAGTGACAAAAGCAGTAGCTGCTCGGTTTCTGAAATATGTCAGCGTAAGTGGCCTGGGAAGTGGCCGTCGACCTCGGAGGTCCTGAGTGAGACTGCCCAGACTTGCCTCAACTTGGCAAAGCAGTTTCTGAGGACTACAGCTCTTACACTTCAAGCCAGACTGAATGCAGCCCACACCAGTCATCAGAGGAAATCATCAATGAGGCCATGGACGAGTTGAGTTAGACCAAGCGGGCTGAAGATGACAAATAAGACCGGCACACCAGCAATGAAAACAAACGGCACATTGGGCGGAAACTACTGACGACGACCATAAGAGCTTGAGGAAGGCGTCGATGACAGACTCGACGAACCATCGACACAACAAGGGCACGAAGTTGACGCGACAGTGGGATGAACTTCAAGAATGTTTCGTTACCGAAATGCCTATTTGGTGGCTAGAGAGAGATTAGGGCTAGAGATTAAGTTTGACTCAGATTGAAGTTAGTTCCGCTTTTGCTATATGGCCTGTTATTGTGTGTGTGTGTGTTTTTTTTTTTTTTTGCGGCTCAGATTTTTGCCATTTTGTGTAATATCGAAATGGGTTTGCCGTGTTACCTCAGACTCGCGTCTCTCTCTCAATCCAACCTTTTGCAAGCGCTCCCGAGGTAAATTCATGACAGACGAGTCAACATCCGCAGATTCGTCGATGTCACCATGGTCTCGGAGGGTTTCCATCAATGCGCCTAATCTGATATGCCCTTGGTAGCGACGACATAGTTATCAATTTATCAGTTTTTATTATTACAAAAAGAGGATTGTTACAGAATATAAAATATACGGACGAGGGTCCCAACTGCAACAACCTTGATGGTATTTACAAATAAATAAAACAAGGATTAGCAGCAGCTTGAACCGTAAAAACATATCTAGCAATACATACACGAAAAAGAAAAACAAAAATGCATGAAATCCAAGTGTACAAAATATGATGAGTACAGACAGACAGTTCTGATGAAGCAAAAAAAAAGAAATGTAAATTTAACATCGCTGAGTTCTGGAATAAAACTGAACAAATATTACACTTGTCCGCATTTTAAAGGGCTAGTGAACAGGCTCCGACTTTTTTTTTACACCCCCCAAACAAGCTCGGTAATTCGTAGAGTAGACCGCAGCGATCCCGTTTTCTTACAAAGCTGTACAGAGCTGCACGCCGCGCAGAGCCTCCATTTTGAAAAACAATTCCTGCGCTCCTTTCTTACGCCTGACCAATGCTCCTTGTACACGCAGTGAAGACAACTTGCCGGCCGGCGACGTAACATAGCACGCAGCTCGTCGATTGGTCTAAACCAGGTCTTAACATACCATAGTGAAGTCAACAACAGTTCCTGTTCCCACCCACAGCTACGACAGGGCTACTCAATCATATGAGTTGCGAAACTCCCCATAGGCTCTATGCATCAAAATCGGGACACTTCACTGACCCAGTTTTTGGGATTGAATAGATTGTCTTGCCACCTATTGATCAGCACACCCACTATTAGGCGCATTATTTGTGTTTTAAGTTGCTGCTCCCAGATGATGCGACAGTCTGCTCCCAAAAAATCAAACTCCAGAAAAATCGGGCCAGCTTCATGTCCGGGTTTTCGGACGCAGCTTTGCTGCAAACCATTGTCGGCTGCAAATCAAGCGACTGGTCTGCAAAGAAGCATCGGCACCGGGTAAACAGTAAACAACCAGGCATTGCAGCAAGTGAAAATGCGTTGCGACTGATCGAGTTCGCCGATGACCTCAATCGCTGACGTCTTGTCACATTGCTGAAATGGGCGGAGTCACGACGATGAGTCACGCCTTCCCCTCCTTTTGAAGGAGAAGGGTGGTGAGGCTGCGCGAAAACTTGAAACCATCTGAATGCAGTGTTCTAGTACCTGTAAATTCCTTAATATAGCACGTATTCGCAAAATTCTTGCGGCAGCATGTTCACGAAGCAAAAGCGCACATATTTCTCTTTACAACAATTGTTAGACCGTGGGGTGGTTTACTGGCTCTTTAAAGAAAATAAAGCAAGACTGAGCATCATCGAGGGCCACAGAATGCACGCGTCGCGCGATAAAATCCTGCACACGCACACTGCGTCCAAAACGACACGGAAAGCTATTCAGTAAAGCACCCTCCATATGCAGCGCGGTCCCACATATATGTCTCGCTAACTAAAAGCATGGTACTACTGAAGCAAAACTAGTTCTCTTCTTTTTTTTTGGTTTGGAGGGAAGGGCAGGGCACGTCCGCGCATGCGCCCGCTGTGGCAAGACCAGCGGCAACGCCGGTTTGTGGGGCACAGGCCCACCTGCGCGAAATAACGAGCGCTCTCTCTCTCGTAGGAGTCTCCGGGTCCACTAGCGCGCTGTGCTTGCCTCTTTGTCAGCGACAAGGCAACCGTGGAAAATGCACTCTCGTGCCAAAATAACAAAATCCGAGGCGAAATTTCTAGATTGTCCGTGGTGAAAATTTATTATATCAAAGATGTCTCCCGCTGTTACATTGCTACATAGACGTCACAAATGCATGTTGTTCTATGGAGTAATGACGGGGATAGACAAACTTTGTTAATTATAAGCAGTTTATTTTTTTTCTGTTGAGGTGTATTCACTGTATATCAACTCTCCACTGCAGCGAAGCCACCTTAATGGGGATTAAATGTAGACAAATGTACAAATATTCGTTCAGTTTGAATACTTAGAAATGTCCAATGATTTGAATTAGCATTGAATCAAATTCAAATACTCTAATATCATTCCAATAATTGAAGTACTGAAATATTCGCACCAGCCTAATCTTAAAACCACTTCAAACTGTCAGAATACAATAGGAACTCAAACTAGCTTTCAAATAGCTGCTATAAATAATTTTTTAAGGTGCACTAATGGTTAGCAGTACATTGTCTAGACTCTTCATGGCTTTGCTGTTAATTTGACCCAAGAAGTGAAACTATTTGCTCCAGTACCAATCTAAGTATAGACACATTGACAATATACTTTCAGGAAAAGCAACAAAATGTCTCCGAACACAGAACAAAGCAGAGGCCATTCATTACTCACCAATGGCTTGATCTCCCCAGCTTGCACAGCGCGAAATATCATGCTGAAGCCTTCCCTGAGCTCCTGGTATGTTCCACAGCCTGTCAGAACAGAGAGAGAGGATAAAGGCCAGTTCCTGTCTATGGGGCTCCGTTAGGGCCATTCTAATGAAAATAATATTGCTCCACAACCCTGAGTGTCGCACCTGACATAGCATTCCACATCTCGTCGGTGAAATCCACGGGCTGCCGCTTGCTCATGACCACTGTCTCTATGTACAGGTCAAAGTCCGATGAATTCCAGCCGACGTCTGCAAATGGCGTTTCCGACTTTCCTCGATAACTGCCCTTCCGGGAGCCTGCATCAGAGAAACACACCGTTTTCTTACAAAAAACGCTCACCCAGTACTGATTTCCGACTTGTTTTTACGGACGGATGCTAGAAGAGGAAACACAGAGTGGAAGGTTCTCACACATTCAGTTCATGCAACACTTGTATGGTTTAAACAAAGTGGGGCAATCACAGCACCAATGTAACGGTAAGACACACTTGTTTGTTTACAATCATTATTTTCAGACCAACAAGGCAGTGTTAGAATGATGAGAAATTTCATATTGACGGGGACAGAACACAGAAAGACACAGCACTGAACCTGGTCTCGCCTTTCGCATTGTTTGATCCCCTTTTACTGGCCCTTACGGCCCCAGTTTGGCGCAAGCCTCAATATGCCAACCTCGCAAAATGTGTACTCTAGCCATAGCTCCCTGACTACCCTATCCCCTTTTCAAGTTATTTTAAAAACTATGCGCTTCTCCCTGCTCATCATCTTTTTTCAATTTGCTTTCCACCACAGAAACCTGCAACAGCAGTTTCTAGGGACCCAAGTTCTTTTTCTGTATGTTTACAGTGTGGTGCCTGAAGATTGCATTCCAAGTAGCAGAAGTTGTTGCAACACTTGAAGAATAGAAGGACTTGTTCTTCCTGGTACTTGGTATTTGAAGAACATTTTCCCCTCTTGCTATATAACAAATGAAACTTTACACAATAAAAACAGTGCTCAGAAAATTCCAGCGTGGAAGTGTTTCCAGCATGGAAGGGCAAACCTCTCCCTTTAACCACAGAGTCACACAGACTTCACACATCTGGTCATAGAGGTAGACTCAAACCTCACTATAACAAAGCTGCATCTTGAAATAAAATAAGTTTGTTGTATTCGAAAATTCCTTATGGAGGTTATACAGAAGGCAGGGCATAGCCGGATAACGAACCATTCATGCAAGCCAACAGATGGCGATGCGCTTATCCCGGTATGAAGGAGTAGCCATGCAAGCCAACAGATGGCGATGCGCTTATCCCAGTATGAAGGAGTAGCCATGCTGGAGTTCTAGAGAAAGGTGAGAGGATCATAATATGGCTTCAGCCGGTCAATATTGACTGTGGCTTGCACTAGACGACAAAGATCGGAAGACAGAGAAAAAGGTTTGACCATATAATTAACAGAGAGGTCTGGGAACCACGTGTTGGGGTCCATGGTACTTTGAAAGGAGCTTAGAAAAAAGGCCGGGAGCAGCAACTGGAGGAACTTGAGCCACATGAGGGAGTCGATGGTGAAAGGGGGCATCTCAGAGTTGTGACACTAATTTTGGCGACAGTTAGTTGTAGGTGAATTAACAAGCCAGTTGTCAGCATGTGGTGAGCCACCACAGACACAAAATGGCAGTCAGTGGGGGTCTGAGTGGTTCGGTAGAATCGTATCAATGGTGCTGGAGGGACAACAGCTGTATACCAAAAACAAAGGTGAGATTCCGGTGGTAGCTTGGAAGGCAGTGTTGTACATGAATGCGACAAACGAAAGAAGAAGATGATCCAAATTTCAGTAGTCTGACACAATGTACATCGACAACAGGTTACCAAGAGTTTGGTTAAATAATTTCATTAAGACATTGGGTGACAAGCAGTAGTGGTGTGGTGAATAATTCTGCACTTGGATAGGAGTGACTGCAGGACGTCCTAGAGAAATACACAACCCTAATCACTCAGCAGTTCCTAAAGCATAAGTGCTAAAGAAGATAGTGGAGTACGACTAATAATAACTATGTGCTGCTGTCATTGTAGTTGCACAAGTATAAAAAGCCATCAAGGATAGTGTAATGCTGTGCCTGGTAGGCGCAACGCTCTTGAAGCCAGTGCGATCGAAGGGCTTGACAAATAGTTAAGAATTAGGGCGATCCATGGGCCATTTCGTTGCTCTGAGGCCACGTCTAAGATATCAAGTGGTGATATATCATGATTGTGAGTAGATGCGTTGGCGTCTGAAATGAGTGGGAAGTGGGACAGGTTGCCAGCATCAGAATGTCAGTGGTCAGAGTGATATACGGCGCGGATGTATTCCTGGAGTCGGACAGCCGACTGAGCGAGGCGACCTGAGGTTTGACAACCAGCACAAAAGGTGGCAGTCTGTTACAACTTCAAAAGGACGACTGTAAAGATAGGAGTAAGATTTCTGAAGAGCCCGTACGATGGTCAGACACCCTTCCTCTGTTACAGTGTAACTGGTTTCGGGTATTGTGAGGGGATGACTGGCATATGGGTCATTTCCCGCAAAACATCCGAGCCATTTTGGCGACCATCTCACTTGTATATGGGAAAAATGGTGCTGATCTACTGCAATAGAACAGTAAATTGCAAGACTATTTCAGAGAGAAAAAAATTTTAGCCACGTCGTTGCCTTCTGAACTTCTCAGAATGTTATCTGAATGTTGTTATTGAAAAAACTAATTTTAAAAGTACCACTTCTTCTTTCTATACCAAATTTGGTTTAAATATTAACTTAACGTGCTTGTATAAAGCATTTGAAGCTCAGTAATATTAGCACAATTTTTCTTCCGCACATGCCTCCAAGAATTTCGTCATAATGTTTTATGATTGCATTTTTTCTATGGCAATTCTGCACTCTGTGTGAATATTTGAGCAATCTATACTTACTCTGCAGGAGGTATATGTTGCACAAAAAGTATTTTTAGACCCCTCAAGTTGATGGCTATCTTCCCATTCGGTCATACAACAGCTTCCGTCTTGAAGTTCCCCATTGCTGTCAATGGGAAACTTCAAAAATTATTTTCTTCCTTAAAATGAAAACTGTTATGATAAAACTTGCCATATAGAAAGAACTTTGTATTTGCTTTTGACTTAAATATAATGGTGATTTTCGAGAGGCTGTTTTACATACTTGGCAAAAAGTATAGCCCGCTTAGGTTTGTAACGTCAATACGAGCTCTCTACCTGCATTATAGCTGGACAGGTAACCAAAAGGAGCATTAAAAACAACAGCGCCATTTCCTGCTCAGTTACAGCTCGGTACATTACAGTCTTCGCTATCACGTTTGAATACGCCTCCATTCCATACCACTACCTTCACAAAGCCAACATATACTAAGCTTATGAAAGTCTGCAAGTTTTTCTTTGAGGTTCAGTGATTTTCTTATTTTCAGCCGGCTGAACTTTTCCTAAGTGACATGCAGCTGACGATCTCCATTTACTAGGCTTGTGCGAATAATGAATTTTCGATTCGAAGCGAATTTGATGCGAATATTGATTTCTGTCGAACTATTTCTAATTGAATTTGAATACTAGTACACATGACATATAAAAACATGGGCATATCTATCATGCACTAACCTGCACAATATTTTTTTTAATTGAACTAGAGCCTCTATGCAAATCTTTTTTTTTTTTCATTCAAAGAAAGTCCAAGCAATTTAGAGTAGTAGCAGGATTTGACTTTTGGTAAGATGCGATTGATAACCAGTATACTACATAACATTTTAAAATTTTATTATACATATAGCATATAAGCCGTCACAAAAAAATGAGGAATTGATTTGAGCCTAATGGGTTAATTAAAAGGGGCCCTGCAAAACTTCTTCAAGTAACCATGGAATGGTTTCACTAAAGAAACTTATTGCCTCACAAATTCACCACAGCAAACATTTTTAGAATCAATCTAGTACGAACAGAGTTGCTAAGATTTGTTGCACGCTGCTCCTTCCTCTCGTCCTGACGAAAGCGCTGGGGGGAAAAATTATATGTGCCTCATGACCTTCGGCACTCTTTTCTTCTTCTTCGAATACACGGCTTTTCAGTGCGAATGTGCACATACGTGTGGACAAGTGGCAGTCTCAGGAACAACTGAGCGCGCCATACCCATGGCTGATACAAATGCTGTGACGAGACATTTTTGAGCTTGTGGCGTCATTTGTCGAAAGAAGAGAGCACTTTTTAGCTGACTTTGAGATTTGTTGTGAATTGTAGGCTGCGTGCTGCACTATAAGATTTGGCTCACGTTTTCTCAGTAGCCTCGACTACTGAACGGCAGCGTTTTCTAACCATGCTCATAAAGTGTTGGAGGGAGCCCCTTTAAATTTAAAAAAGGCAGGGCGTATTTTTCGTGTAGATGCTTTCACTGCTTAGCACCCCTACACTGCAGTGAAATCAATTTTACAAGCAGTTATGTGCGGATTAGTATACACCTATTTGTTCACTGCGACTACTTCGAAATTTTCAATAATTTCAATTCGAATCGTAGCAATTTGGAATACTTTACTATTCGTTTGAATATTCGAACCATTCGAATATTTGCACAAGCCTATCGTTTATACTCCTCACGATCACAAGCCTCGGGCACACAAAAGAGAGATGACAAAACTATATTTACTGTGCAAAATGACCTTCCCTTGTCGTGCACTTTCATAATTAAAATGGTGCATCACAATATGCTGTATTTCAGCAAGAACAGATACGACCCGAACAGGCCCTATGCAAAACAACACAAAATGACCACAACAAGTGCTCAGGCACCATTATGTGACGGCGATAGCAATGCATATTACCCCTGTGATGAGAGTGCTGGTGACACAAATGTGGTTTCTGTTTTGTGTGATTATAATGCAGAGACAATCTTTGTTCCCACTTTCACTTTCATTTAGCTTTTTTTTTCCCCCTTCCCTTGCATTTTCCCCTCTAGCCAAGCTCTTGTGTTCTGTTTCTCTACTGTACTGTTGGGGAACTGAATAATGCACTTTGAGCACTTCCTAGTGGGCACGAGAGCGGCAGCGACAGCATGGCTCATCTGCCTCACGTTTACTTTCCACAGAATTACGTGATCCCCGTCTTGATGCCTGTCCTGCTCGGCGTTCTACTCCTGCTGGACGTGTCGCCAACTGCGCGACTTACGCCCGAGCCACAGTATCCACCCCTGAAGAAAGAAAACAGCCTGTTCTTGTGTTTGCCTCCCCTGGTGCGCCACGGTTTCAACTGTTTAGCCGGATCGACAATGTCATCAGACTTTCAAAATAGCAT